CCTGCTGCCGCCGCTCCGACACCGCCCGGCCAGCGGCACCGGGACCGGCCCCGCTTCGCTACGGAGGCATAAAAAACCTTTTTTGATCCAGCCTCAGCTCGCCCATGAACCAGCGTGAATTTTGTTTCTTAAATGCCAATTTATCACAACAGCACAGAAGAGCACAAAGACATAGCTTCACAAACACGGAGAAACGCTCTGTAACTAGAAAAAAACAAGTCCACAAACTTGGAGGGAGAGCTAAACTGACTTCAAGGTATTTAAAATGGAAAAAAAACCCTAAGAAACAAAAACCCCAAACTGTTTCTAGACTGAGGTATTAGAAGACCTCTAAACGCTAACTGAAAAACAGCTTCTCTATCAAGTGCTAGGAGGTTTTGGCTACAGCAACACAGAGTAAAAATGCCCAAGTCAGGCAACCTTCAAAGCACAATTAAACATCCAGAAACCTGCAAAACAAACCAGTCACTTAATAAACCCCACAGTTTTGACTACAAAAAAAAAGAGATAAAAGATAATTCCTCCTTTCCACGTTGCCTGGTGGCTGAGCTTCCACTCTGAATCAGGAGCTGCCAGAACCCACCTGTCATCAAGGACTATTCTGGTGTTTGAGTCAACCAACCAGACATGGGTGATGCTTTCCAGCCATAAAAGTATTCTAGATGGAGGCACGAGAAATGCACTTCAGGAAATAGCTTCCCAAACAAATAATTGAATGACTACTCTCCTCTGACAGCTGCTGAGTTCTTTAGCTACGGCACCCTGCATCAGGGCTGGGAAAAGACACAAAAGGCTGGAAGTCCAGGTAGGGTGTGACTGGGAAGCAGCTGCCACAGAAAGCCAGTGCTGATGTGGCTGCATTTGCCTTCTGCACAGGGCTGATGGATGGGTTCTCTTACCTGGATGGCCAGGGTTAAGACAGAGCCCACTCCCATGTGGAGTGAGGCTGGAAGGGCCCTGTCAGGAGATACATGAAGGATTTAATATAAAACTTGCTATTCTCCATCTCCCTAAGGGTGTCTTACTGACTACCATTTTGGGGAAGCTGCAAATCAGCTTTGGGAATATTTTTCCTGCCATAATTACATGCAGCTGCATTTTTAGCCCCTCCATTAAGTACATATTACCTCCTTAAATCCCCTGAGAGCCTTTTAAACAGATTATTATAAGAGCTTTTTTTCTAATCCTTTATTTTTTCTTTAATTAGCTGCTATTCACACAAATTAGGCTAATACCAAATGAAAAAATATTTTCATGGAATTCACCACAGGCAATCTAAAGCATCTCTTCAACTTTATTTCTGTGCAACTGGGGCTGTGTTGTCCTTATTCCCAGTTATTTTATCAACTGTCATCAGGGCACAAATTTGGCCTGATGCAACTATGCAGTATTACCACTTCTACTTTACTGACACCCGAGACACTGCCCAGACATCCTTGGTAACACCACCATTGTGAGAGTCTGCACCGTGCCCATCAACTGCCATAAAGCAAAGGTGTGAAATCAGCCATTCTCCCAGTCCCCTTCGTGAACACAGCAAAGCATATTGCCTGTTGCTGTCACTCCCAAACCAGGAAAGGGGTTGCTTTTTCTGGAGCCAGTAGTTTCCTCTGATGTCAAAATCCTTCTTGTTGAAAAGAGGCAAGGATATATATTATATATATATTTATATATTACATGTATTATATATTTTATGTATTATGTAATATATGTACATATATATGTATATTGCACTACAACATGGGTTGTCTGTGGGAGGTTTTCTGCCAAACAAGGACTGTTGTCATGCTCTGTGTGTTCAGAACTGAGAGGTCTCCACTGCAACAGAGGATGGACAGGAGATCAATGTCACCTCATACCATTGTAACAATTAAGGCTCCTCCCATAAAGGCACCTATTAAGTCTTGACTATGGATTAGGATTTATATAAAACTGCCCTAAGGATCAGCAAGCCAGTTGCCTCACAAGTGAGCAAATTTTAACAAGCTTCTGACTGAGCCCTTCCTAGCAATACAGTGACTGCCACAGTTCAAAGGCAGGGCCAGCAGCTGGGGCTGTAACACCAAAGGGCGAGCCACAGCAGCTGCACCAAGCCTGGACCTGGGAGAAGAGGGCAAGAAGTCCTCATACAGCCCCAGCAGGGACTCAGCATGCACTGGAGCCACTGCACAGCTGCATCCTCACCACCCCTGCAGGCAGCAGGGACCTGTGCAACAGTGCTAAAGCTCCCGCCACCCTCAGCTGGATTCCAGAGAGCTATCCCAGCCTGCAGCATATGATGGGAACTGAATCTATGGTTAGCAGATATTTGACATTGTGTTAGACAACAAGGAGACTAAAACTAATGAAAACCTACAATAATCCCAGTGCAGAACAACATATTTTGCAGTTCTGCTTGCAGACCAAAAGAGACAGAATTGGACAAGACTACCATTTTAACAATGGAAGTTATACAATAATATATTCTATGTTTTTGCTGTCATATTTCTGTCTACCTCTAGTTCCTTTACCACCTCAGAATATATTTTCTGATGAAAACTGATTAACTGATGTCTCAATTGTTCCAATTTCTTCTCAGCAAAGGACATTAACTTTATAGAAAAGCCTAGAAACGAACTTGGCTTACACTGAATTTACCCAAAATCTCCCAATTAACCTTAAAGAGAGTTGAGCAAAGTTCTGAAGTAAAGCCTATTCTGATATCTGAGAACCAAACAAGGAAGAAGTGGGCCATGGAATAGTCAGAGAGCTCCTGACTAGTGCAAATAAAAAAGGAAAGCACAGAGAAGGTAGAAGCAGACACAAGCTGCCTAGGAGGAATACAGGAACTTTGCTTGCGTTCACAAGAGTGAAGTTATGAAGGCCAAAGCTCAATAAGCTGAGAATATGTAACAGTTACATTGGTCAGCAAGACAGACTTCTGTAAGCACACCAGCAGCAGCAAGGGATCTAAAGAAGACGCAGCCCTGCTGTGTAGGGGCCAGGGAACCTAGTGACAGAGTAGGCTGGAGTACCCAATACTTTTCTTTCTGGCCTTAGATTGCACCAGAAGGGGCTGCCCTCTATTCTTCCCTTTCTCTGACCCAGCTAACCTACTCTGCAGGAGTAGGTCAGGAGGGAGCAAGGGAAAGGCTCTCCACTGGGGAGGGTGAGACAAAGGAAAAGACAGCACAAGCAGTGAACTTACCATTGGGGCATGGCCCCACAGCCTCTGAGCAGGAAGAGCAGCAGGTCCCTCCCCGTGACATCAGGTAAAGGCAAGGTAACAATGCAGATCCAAGATCAATCCAAGATAACCCAGGTAATGACTCATGACAAAACAGGACTGGAGAAGTGTCCTACGGTTGCCTCACAGCTCAAGTAAGAGCTCCTACTCTTGGGCTTGCACTTAAGAAATATCTCAGTCCCATGGTCATTGGTGTGTGGGTGGAGGTCCCATGTGAGAGTGGTCAAAGTAATTGAAGCCCATTAGTGCACTCAGGGCCCTGTTAGGAAGTTGTTTTCACAGGTGAGGACTGGAGTATTTGAGCCAATTTAATAGATGCAAGTTCACAGGACCAGGTAGGACACACCTGAAAGTCATGAGGTTTTGACTGTGTGGCCCCTCTCTATTATCTTTGAAAGGTCAATGATACTGGGGGAGATGTCAGCTGTTCAGAAAAAACACATCACACACTATCTCCATCCCAGGGAAAAGCAGGCCAAACAGATTTGTCTTAAGTCCAGAGAAAGTCATGGAGAAAATCCTCCTGGAAATCATTCCAACCACAAGAAAGTCAAAAAGATGACTGAAAGCAGCCAGCATAGATTGTTCAAAGGCAAACCAGGTCAAAAACTTTTATAAGGCACGGAATTTCCTGTGCACAACATAAACTTCATCTATATTTTATCTAGGCCAGTTACCATGGATTGTCCCAGACAATTTTAGTAGATATAAACACTAATAATCTGGATTAGATGATACATCAGGAAACTGTAACAGTGTGTTCCCTTTAGGATCTTTTGATGCATTATTTCTTGTTTATTGTAGTAAACTACTTCTGTCAGTTTCTTTTTTATTGATTTTGCCCAAGCAGCAGAGTAGGGAGGGAGCTGTTTTTGGCTGGGGTCAGGCAGAAAGCTTGTGAGAAGACTCAGTGCTGAGATCATGGGTTTCACACAGTGTACGTGGCATCAGGGTGACCTTCCATTCCAATACAGCCAGGCTCAAGGAGTCTCTCCTTCAGCAAAACATACAAATCAACCTTTTTCTTTAACTGGAGACAACAGATTGTCACGGAAGTGCATTCAGTGGGACTATCTTTGGAGTAACGGAGGGGATAGTTCCTTCAGGATCCACTGCCAAGCAAAGGGAATGAGCCCAACTGGAACACCCAGCAGTGCAGAATTCCCTTGTGTTGTGTGCAGCTTTGCATGAGGTCTTGATGCTTTTCCCTAAATCTCACCACCCCAGACCCATAACTGAGGGAGATAAACAGAGCATTGGGTCAGTTAACTTGTTCTTCTAGAGCCATTTCAGTCCCACGTTAGACTTGCAGCAGCTTTAGTGAAGCCGCTTGTTAAAGAGGAGGAAAGAAATGTCTTTATAAAGTGCATATATGGGCATTGAAATTATATGGCCTCTTTGATAAAGGAATGGAATCTTCATCCATTAAATGAAATATGATAAATTATGTTAATGTCTATGCATTATTTTTCTTATTCATGTACTAGTATTTAATTCCTTAAGTGTGATTATATATATTCCTTCACAAGTCACACCGTTTTTCAAAATGTAAATACTATAATTTCTTATGTAAACCTTCAATGTCCTCTAATCCACAGCAAACAGGTTCCTCTGCATTAATCTTCTTTGATGCTCAGGAGATATTTCTATCAGATTCAGGTGATAAATGTGAAAGGTGAACTATACCAAAGTGATAAATTATTTAAACATCAAAAGGAGAAAATACAACGGATTGAAAGGAAAGTCATACACAGGTTTTTAAATTAGGATCTTACCAAAGAAAAGTGTTTCCTGCAGCTAGTATTCTGCAGAACAAAACTATTCAGGCTATATCTAAAACTGAACACACACACACCATTTTATGCAAAGTTCAAATGTGACTCAAGTGTGACTTGAATGTTCAAGTGTGACTCGAGTGTTCAAATGTGACTCAAGTGTTCAAGCGTGACCCAAGGCTCAGAGCTATGACTGGACATCTGATTCTTAGACAGACTCTTGTGACTACTCATGTGAGTAGATTTAGCACCAAAATATTCTTCCCTGGAGATCTGTGGCCTCATACCCCTCTGAGGACTATGCATGTCCTTAATATTGTGGGGCCATGGCTAAGGGACATTCCCTTGGATTTCTGCTGTGATGTGGGGACAGCCTCTGTGCTGGCACCAGCACCAACAAAAAATGGAAACTGCATAGCCTGGTTAGCCAACCAGGATGGATGGATGGATCCACCTGGCTGGATGTCACTACTCCTGGGGACATCTGCCAGTAAGAAGAAGGCATGATTGACCTGTGCCCCTCACAAAGGCCAGAACACACCTTACACATAGGCCTTTCTCTTGCCACTGTATGGAACAACCCTCTGCTTCATCTTCATGAATGCTTAAGTCTTTAAGAGTGGTTTAAAAGAGGCCCCTGGGGTTTTTTAATGAGTCGTGGAAAATATGAAGTTGTGATGATGGATGTGGTACTGAAGTCATGCTTATTTCACTGCACCATTCTTTCCTCTACAACCGTATGCAAATTCTTCAGTGGATTTTACTGGGATCTGATGTCGATGGCTGTTGTTCTCTGATGTTTAGGGAAATTCCCCAATTAAAATTTGTACAGTACCAGTTTCATAATTCCATGAAAAGTTTCATAAAATGCCGTTCATGTCACTCCCTGAAACCATCCTCACAATTGCAGAATATGTTGTTACAGTAGAAAGAGGAAATGACTTGTTAAATTTCATATTCTTCAAAAGATATTCAAATTATTGTTACAGCTAATTTACAATAATGCAAATATTCGAACATATTTGTTACATTGCATGTTTTATATGTTGATATACGTGTAATTAATAAATATATGTATAATGAATTGGGTACTCATCTGTTGACCTGCTTTCGAGGGAGGTGTTTTGGCTTCTGGGAGTCTGGAGAAGTTGCCAAGCCTTTTCAAACCCACAGATTATTACCCACTATTAATGCTTCAGGTGGAAGCTGATACAGCTGGCAGCACCTCCCCTTCTAAGATAGGCTGAGAAGGTTGGGGCTGTTCAGCCTGGAGAAAAGAGGTTTGCATGGAGACCTCATAGAAGCTTTCCAGCATCTGAAGGGGGCCTACAGGGAAGCTGGAGAGGGGACTCTTGATCAGCAGTGATAGGACAAGGAATAATGAGTGAAAACTGAAAGAGGACAAATTCAGGTTAAATATTAGGATGATTTTTTCTCCTACAAGGGTGGTTGCCCAGGGAAGTTGTGGATGCCCCAAACCTGGCAGTGTTCAAAGTCAGGTTGGATAAAGCCTTGAAAAACCTGGTCTGGTGAGAGTTATCCCTGCCCAAGGCAGTGGGGGTTGGGACTAGATGATCTTTACCATTCTTAAACCTTATTATATAATCAGATCTCTGATTAGAAAACACCTGGAATACTCCTGGAAAATACCTGGAGTGTTTGAACACCTCTCTGCTGGTGTTGTGGTCCTGGAGTAGCAGAACTCAGCTGGGATAAGGACAGCAGAAAAAGGTCCTGCAATAAGCTCTGTGCAGACAGTGCAGGCAAAGCACACACAGGATGCAGGGCAGGCATTGGAAACAGCAGAGGAACAGGGTCACAGCATGATGGCTTTGCCACACAAGGAAGTGTCCTGAGTACCAGTACACACCAAGTCCAGTATCTGCATGTGCTTCACATCCACACACTGGGTGCCATTTTTGCACTGATGCAGGCAGAGACTGTTCCTATAACAAAGGCTGATCTGTCAAAATCGTGTCTCAAGAAGGGCGATTCAAAAAGTCCTGTACTCACCAGACTAGAAAACTTATCTCAGTGTATTATGCCACCATTCAACATAGAGGAAAAATCACTTTAACACAAATTTTTGTGATCAAATGTATTCAGACAATTAAAAAGACAGCAAAAGTTCTTGGAAAGAAATCTAATTATGAATAGGAGAGTCTTAGAGATGGAGTAGTCTGTCAAGTTAGTATGTAACTGCAGCAATTAGTTATGTGACAAGATACTGAGTATTTTCTTAAATCCTTATAGAATAAGAAATCTTAACAAAAACAAAACACCAGGTAGAAATCAGGCTTTTTTTCCTCAGGTTAATGTGTGGTTTTATTTCACTGTTGCTTTCTTCAACTGCCTGCAGAATTCATCACCACATAACTTGCTTTCAATTTCTTTTTATGAGCATGTTTTTCCTTGCCCCAAGTGAAACAGGATATCCATCTTTCAGAATTTCTGCCCTACCTTTTGCAATACCATTCATTTGTACGTGGTAAGAGCAAAAAAGCATTTAGCAAATCCCATTGTGGTTAAAGGAAATTTGCAGCTTTACTATTGCAATAGAATAAAGCTTTTGTTGAGCTACAAGATTGACTAATGCAGGACAGTTCCTACTTCCCCTGACTTTGATGTCATCTGTTTAAAACACAACCATCAGAAATAATAACTATATTTTGCTGTTTGTTTTTCTACTTTGCCATGACACTGAACTTTTATTGGGAAAAGATTTAAAGAGCAACACAAACCTGTTGGATGTGCCCCTTTGAATCCCCTGCCATCAGGCAGACTACCCTAGTACCTATCATGCAAAGAAAAGGATCTGTCTTTACCCTGTTATGTTGAATAGTGATTTTCCCTTTAAAACAAATTTATGAAAATTAGGTGTCTGTGCTGCATTGTCATTGGTAACAAAAAACTAGATAAAAATAATAAAAATAAACGAGAGATTGAAAAACAAACTGATTTTGTTACAATTTTTTTAAATTACATGTAACATTCTATGACGAGAAGAATATACATGATAATTTCTTTAAAATTTTCTCTCCAAAACTTTGGTTTTACTTTGAAATGAAAGGAGTCACCAAAAGAGAACTATAGGGTTGGTTTGTTCTAGGAAAAAACATGATGGTGAGACAGTAATCAGGGAAGTAAAGACTGACCCTGCAAAGTGAAAGTTGAATAACTACTACTTTTTGAGCTAGATTGCTTCTGTTTTTACAATTTTCTGTTTCCCAGCTTTTCAACATCACTAGCTGGTTAACTTTTGGGCTTAAAGAAAAGATGAAAGATCTTGGCGAATGAACCAGCATCTCTGTCCTTTCAACATGAGACCTTGCAAAGCCTGGTCTCAGAGTGACCCAAGAGATCTTACACCAAATGGGGAAAAACTTGGCCAACCTGTTCCATAGGGTTAAGGTAGGAAATGAAAATTTAGAAAAAGAGGATGAATTTGAATAGAAATACCATTTTTTTCAAATACATTAAAAAAGAAATTAAAAACA